GGATCCATTTTAAATGTTGATTGTCTACTTAAAAAATTTAAAAATGAAAAAAATAATTATAATTAAAGAGGTAGATTATCATTTATTAGTAAAACAAGAATTATAAATAGGGTGTACGCCATAAATTTATTAAAAAAGAATGCGATGATAAAATGAATAATAACACTGCAAGCAAAGAATAAAAATTTATTACGTAATTTATGAAAGGATAGAAGAATTGCAAGATTTATAAAAAAAAAGGAGAGTAAATGGTGAATTTTAAATTACGGATGGAACTATTTTCTTTTTTGTAAAAAGCAATCAAATACCCAATTATTATTTTATCATTTCAATAAACTAGCACCGAACGCCATATTTACACACTAAAACTTTATTATTCTTTAAAATGCAAGCACATAATCATATGATTCTGACGATCTAACGCATTTTTAATTTGACAAATCATCATCATCCCTAAAAAAAGTTGGTTAAAGTGCACAATGATCTCAAGTAATATTACACTAAATTTTTAAGACTTTTTAATACATTTCCAAAAAGATAATAGATTATCAATGTATAAAATGTTAGACACAAATATCCAAAAGTAAAACCGATGGCATATAAACCTCATTTTGCAGACTTTAACGAAATAATGATCAAAATCACATGCACGCAATTTTTAAACTCGTCACTATTTGGAATATCCGCCATTTTTAACTATCTCAACACTTTCAAGCAACATTAGCTCTGTGGTCAAACTTCCATTACTTAATTTACCGGGTCTTACCAAAATCTTTCCGACGAATAACTTGACAATGATTAACTTTCGCATCCTATGATGTATTAATTAAATTTCGAAAGCTGCTATGAATTTTGGAATAAAGTTTTTTGTAATTTTGAAGTCCTGCGGGGTTTTTGGATGGATTTACAAATTGATAAAAAAAAATTTATTTTGATGCTACAATTACTTTGCATTTTGGATTTAATTTTTTTGCTTTATAGGAGTATACAATATATTTAGGAATATTTTTTATTAGCATGTGCTTAGGTACCAATGCAATTTATCACGGCATCCCTTCTATATCCAAATCCTTGTGCGATTCTGACATTATTACAAAATTCAGATTACAGAGTTGATAACGTGTAAAAGGGATCAAGTCAGAATGAACTAATGCAGTCACATGAAATGACGCATTTAACGCTTAAATTGGATTTAATTGTTGAGCGCGAAAGTGAGAGAATATTTAAATAGCCGAAAAGGAAACTTACTCACTTAAATTTTACTAATGAAATTTACGATTAATCGAGGATAAACGAAATGCTGGATTACTACTAACTTATGAAAAATGAAAACTTTTAGGATTTGGAGAATTGGAGAGTTAGTTTACAAAATAATAATAACCATCTTTATATTTGTATATTTGGAAAAGATCATTCATCTAAAAAAATGAAACTTTTAACCTAATTCTTTCAAGAAATATTTATTTTTATAGTTGCATTGCATTAATTTATGTCAATATTTTGATGATCTTTTTTTTTCTCGATTCTAATTATTAGTTGGCCGGATGGAAATAAAGAAGTTTGAATATTGAAAAGGAGAATGTTATCAATGCTGGAGGGAGAGAGAAAATCTTTTCCGAACTAGAAAAGAAAGGTTAAGCAATTTTTATAAGTTAGTTTCAATTTAAAAACAATATGAATACAATAAAAGAAAACTACTCTGAGGAATAGAGGTAAGTCAAAACAAATCCCTTCGAGAATTAATTGGACAAAATATCAGCCAAAGTTTGCAGTCATAAATGGAATTGCTCCCTCTGAATTGCCAATCCTGTTGCCGAGAGTTTACTCACATAATGTGGAAAGTGATTTTATTGAAAAAGAGTATCACACCAAAGCGGATAGTTTGGTGAACTAGACCTTGGCTTTAATGACAACAAAGAAAACAACCAAAAACAATTTAATAAATATAAAATAACTACCCAGCTATTCTCGAAAGGTACACAACCGTCCAGAACTTTGTAAGACACTATAAAGATATCTTTCGAAGAATTATTGCTTGCTAGAACATATGGGAGCATTTCCAGCATTACGTATCATATGATTACTAGGGTTCCTCAAAATCGAATCGAATCAAATATTTAAGCAATTTGAATTTGATTTGATTTTTTCAAATCGAA